TGTCTATTTAAATAACTGTCCCAGGGAGCTGCAGGAAGAGTCACAGCTCGTGCAGTGTCTCAGCCTCCATCTTTGGCATTTGACACAGGTGAGAGCTTGTGTAAATGGTAGCCAGACCGGGAGTCCTAAGCCAAGCCTGGCTTTAAATTTAAGGTCTCGGGGGAGCAGAGGCGGGTACTTTTCACCACAGCGACTACGTGGGGGTTTCAGAGGGTGGAGGGGTTTGCGGAATGGTAGGAAGGTGGAGTTGGGGGAGGGGCACAAGTTCCCCCGTTACACACACTGCCAGCTTCGGGATACTAGCAGGGTAGGGGAATGTATTTCTTGACTTTTATTGTTGTTGTTGTTGTTGCTTTTCATTAGTACGTGTTTGCTGTACATAGTTATTGCATTTATCGTGGGGAGTTGGCACAGGTGCGTATCACGGGCTTAATTCGTTTTACGTCTTTTTCTCTTCTCCTTCCTCCCCCCACCCCTATCTTTGGAATCTGATGGAAAGGAAGTTTTGTGAGGGAGCTTGGCTCAGTTCAGCCAAGGGCAGAGTCCCGGGCACTGGCTGGCATTAATATGAAGACCCTGGGGGAGGAGCCAGAGAGCTTCCCTCCAGAGGCCTCCACCCAGCCCTAAACCTACCTGTAACTCTGCCAGTAACCCAGCCAGGGTTCCTGGATTTGGTATGGCCAGACTTCGATCTTGGTATCAGAGTTTGCTTTTTCTGAGGGAGCTCCACTGAGGTCCAAAAAGGGATGTGTCCCAGGGAGTGTAAGGATCTAAATGAAGACCCTATGAAAGCAGTGGGAAAGCTTCCTGCCACATGTATGGAGGGCCTTAGCCCCATCCAGGCCCTGCTGTCAGTTTTGGGTGACCTCAAGCATGGTTACATCTTGAATCCAGAGGGGGTTTTTCTGTGGCCGTTCGGTCACAGAGGGAGGTACCTAGGCAGTGTCAGGTACTGAGATGAAGAGGTAGTCCCAGGCCTTACCATGGTTAATTTAAGGACTGGGGATGCCCTTATATTAAAAAAAAGAAAAATGGAATCTAGATCTTCTCTGTTCTTGCTGTCAGTAGGAGGATTGAGCCATGGTGATGGGATATGGCTGCTTTTTACTTTTGAATGGGGTTGGGTAGTGGTCTCAGGAAGGTGGAAATTTTGGTCTGATAAGTGTGAACTGAGTTCAGCTGAGGCAGGGACCTGAGGCAAGCAAGGGTCACATGCTGAGGCATGGGTCCCAGCTCTGCTGTGTCAAGATAAAGACTCTAAACAACATTTACGGTCCTTCTACCCTTTGTAGAGGGGTGCAATAGGAACTTACCCGGCTATCATCCCTGGGAGGCCACAGTGTAGGGTTGCCAAATGTAAATTGACTTCCCCTTAGGGAGTCTGAGGGAGGTGAGGTGTTTTTTGAGGGGTGCAACCTCAGATTAACAGAGAAAACAGCCTGTGGCCCTACCAGGCATTAAGGAGAGGAGCCTAAAGGAGGACTGAAGGCACCTTCCAACTTAGGTAGATGAAGCCCCAGGCCACTCTGAGTATATCAAATCTAGGGAGAGGAAGCTCCAGAAGCACTTTGGCCTTGCTGTCAACATGGGAGAGTGCAAGCAAGGTTGGCTAGATGTGACACTACTTCACTTTTTGGGGGGGCTGGGGTGTGTCTCCAGGAGGTGAGGGCATTGACAATGAGGCAGTAACAGTCTGAGAGGGAGCCACATTTGGTCAGGAGGGGAGTCCCTGTCTCTGTCCATAGTCAAGGACCTTTGATAAGGACAGATGGTCCATGCCATTCTCCTTCCGTCTCCTGGTAAAGAAGGTAAAGAAGGATCCTGTGGAGTCTGACTATTCCTTGTTCTCAGCCCTGCAAGGATGCAGATTGGGGTGATCAAAAGAATGTGATCCCACTTTTGTGATATACTTCCCCTGGAGCCAAGGCCCTGGAGTCTTTCAGGATAGTGAGGACTTGGTTGGCAGATGAGGCTTCCAGTAAGTAGAGCATGAGACAGGCCCTGCCAGGAGTAAAGGTGTATATCCTGAGGTGGGACTGAGTGAATCTCTCAGTGTAACAGAGCCTAGACATGGGTGACTGAATTTATTGCCATTTCAGTTTTGTCTGGAGTGTTCCAGGGAGGTGATAGCCTCCGTCTTAGTGTGTGACATCAGCAGTGGGAGGAGTTCCAGGATCTGCTGAGAGTCAAGGTAAGGTGAAGACACTGAGGAAGGCTAATGGTGCCTCCCCCAAATGCAGGAAGAAGGGGCCTCATAGCAACCACCTTGTCTGTGCTGTGAAGCCTGGGAAGATCTGGGCTGGGCAGGACTGGCCAGATGTGGCCTGCTTTCTCTTCTTCCATGAGGTGAATGGGGTGTCTCTGTCTAGTGAAGTCTTGTTCTGAAGAGACAATATGGGTCAGGAAAGGGCGATCCCCACCCTGCCAGGAATAAAGTATAATACCCGTCTTAGCTATTTTCTTATTGCTGGGACAAAATACCTGTTACCTGCAACTTAAAAGATGAAAAGTTTATTTTGGATCACGGTTCATTCCTTGGGCAACTGGCTCCAAAGAAGAAAGAGCACGGCAGAGGGCCATGGGGGAAGAGAGGTGCTCATATCATGGCAGATAGGGAAGCAGAAAAAGTCAAGGAAGGAGCTGGGGGGTGAGATAAACACTGCCAGGCTGCGCCCTCAATGACCCAATTCTAACCAGACCCCACTTCCTAACAGCAAGTCTGCTAAAAGCTCCTATAATATAATCACCTTCCAAAGCCCTGCCTATGATGGCATAAGGATGGGGGGTATCTCCATATAAACCCTAACAATGGAACAGATGGGACATAGCCTTGGGTAGGAGTGGCTGCATGTTGCATCTCTTCATTTTTGTTTTAACAGTCTCAGGTAAGTGAGAGCCTTGGCCTGAAGGCATGACAAGTCATAAGAGGGTGGAATCCCAGTCTCCATCACATATCAAGCTAAGGACTCTCATGGGTAAAGAGTATCTCTTACTCCAGAAAGAAGGGACCCTGCGGAGTGTGGCTGTTTCCTGTTCCCAGCCATAGGAAAACTCGGGAGAGGTAGGCAAGCTGTGGTGCACCCTTGATTTTTCCAAAGGTGAGGGAGATGGCTTCGAGAGGTGAAACCTTGGTCAGGTGGAGTAGTGTCCTGTCAGCAGTGCATGGCCCAATCTTTGCAAAGAGGAAAGAGGACCAGCACCAGTGGAGCTGAGGGCAACTCTGTGCTGGACCAGGGCCAACCTTTGCTGTCAACTCTGGATGGCCCAGGCAGGGATAGCCACATTTTTTGCCTCATTTTTTTCCTCCATCCTTCAGGAAACAAGGACCTTGGTTTGAGGAGGAGACAATTTTAGGGGGAGTCACATTAGGTCAGCAGACGGAGGAGTCCCAGACTCTGTAGGATTCAAAGTAAGGACCTTGAGTGAAGACTAAGGGCACAAATCCTCTTTCTAGGACTGAAGGCACATTCATACCTTGCTCTTGCTGTCAGGTCTGACACCCTGGAGCACAGGGGCCAGGTGTGGTGCACCCTCACTTCTGTCTTGTTGGTATCAAAGAACTGAGGACTTGTTCTCAAGGCCAGGAGATGGGGGAGTTCTAGGCCCTGACAAACATCAATATGAAGAACAAAAGTGTCTCTCACCTAGAAGAGATGGGATCCCTAGAGTTTGGCCAGCCCTGATTGTGACCTTACGAGGCCCTGGACAGGTGTGCTTGGAGGGGGTGCTCCCTCACTTCCTCCTTTTGGTCTCCAGAATGGGAGATAGTGTTCTGGGAGTTTGCCTCAGTCCAGCAGAGGGGTAGAATCCAAGCCTTGCTAGAGGAAAGGTGAATATAGAGGTGACCATCCAATCTCGAACTGGGTACCATGCAGTCTGGCCCAGCCTTTTCAGCTCTGAGAGGCCCAGGGTTGTGCCTGTAGTGTTCAGCTTGGGAAGCCCCTCAGTTCCTTTTCGAGAGATACCAGTGTCTTAGTTATTTTTCTCAGTGCTGAGACACAATACCCAACACCCAAAGTTAAAGGAGGAAAGGTTTATTTGGCTCAGAGTTTGTAGAGGTTTCAGTCCATAGTTCATTGGCTCCAATGTAGGGCAGCATGGCAGAGAAGCTTTGGAGAGGAGGAACTTTCCATGTCGCGGCAGGCAGAAAAGCAGAAAGCAGCAAGCAGCCAAAGTAGTGAGCAGCAACAACAAGCTTGATGTTTTTCCTGTCCCTTTATATTCCATCCAGGCTTCCAGCCTATTGAATGGTTCCACCCATACTCAGGGTGGGGCTTCCATTATCCACACCCTTAATCCATTTCACACACCCTAATCCAGCCATCTTTGAAACTCCCCATCTATGACCACATGAGGCTTTGGGGGAACACAGGTACAAGACATAACAAGCACGAACTGGGGTTGAGGACTTTGGTCTGAGTCACGTGCCTTCAGATCACAGAGCAGAAAAGGCCCCCAAAGCATCAGGTGTCAAAGTGAGATGCACACCTTTAAGGACTTTGATCCTCCTAGAGCAGAGGGGACACCACAGCATCTGAATCCATGTATTCTCTTGTCAGCAGCAGAGCCTTAGGCTGCACCCTGAGGAGTTTTGTAAGTACTCCTACAGATTCCTAGAGGACAGACGGACCAGAAAGACATCAGACCTGTGAGGCTCTAGGATATCACCTAAAGAGAAGACCTGTAAGTGGGCTTTTGTCAGTGCCATCTTAGGTAAGTTTTTCATTGGAGGCCATTCACACTGCCCCTCTCTCCCCTAGGCCAGTGGGATCACACGACCCACGTTCCTGTTCACTGTCCTGCTGCTGCCTCCAGTAGGAGCCATCATGCCTCGCTTTCCTAAGTGCCAACATCTCGACTTTGACCAGCCCATCCAGGATCCAGCTGAGATGCAAGATTTGGTGAATGCAGCGGTTCCTGCAGTTGAGGGGGAGGAGGAGCCCTCCATTTCTTCTGCTTCTCTCGATATCTTTCCCTCCACCCCTCCTCCTCTCTTCCCCTCTTCCTCATCCTCCTCTCTTATGATTTTGGATAGCTCAGAGGAGGAGGATGAGCCTCCTACTGGGATGCTAAGTATTCCCCAGAGTCCTCCCCAGAGTCTTCAGAGCTCCTCCTCTTCCTCTATTTCATGTAGTAAGTTAGATGAAGAGCCTGGCAATGAAGAAATGGGCCACAGTTCAAGCACCTCACAGTCAAGAGATATAGAATCCTTGACTGATGACCTGTTAGGAGGAAAGGTGACTGATTTGGTGCACGCCCTGATTCTCAAGTATCAACTGAAGGAACCAGTCACCGAAGTAGAAATGCTCCAGGTTGTCACCAAAGAGTACAAAAATTGGCTCCCCATGATCTTTGAGAAAGCATCTTCATGCCTGGAGATGCTTTGTGGTATTGATGTAAGAAAAATGGACTCCATCAACCACACCTACGTCCTTGTTAATTCACTGCACCTCACCTATGATACGGTGCTGAGTGATGGCCAGAACATGCCTACAAATGGCTTCCTGATAATGATCCTGGGTGTGATAGTCATAGAGGGGAACTATGCCACTGAGGAAGACATCTGGGAATTCCTGGATATGATTGGAGTGTATGAAGGGAAGGAGCATTTCCTTTATGGGGAGCCCAGGAAGTTACTCCAAGATTTGGTGCAGGAAAATTACCTAGAGTATTTTCAGGTTCCTAGCAGTAATCATCCACGCTATGTGTTCCTGTGGGGTCCAAGAGCCAAGGCCGAAACCACCAAGATGAAAGTTCTGCAATTTGTGGCCAAGATCAAAGGAACTGACCCCAGTTTCTTCTTAGATTCTTATAAGGAGGCTTTGAAAGAAGAGGAAGAAAGGGCACAGGCTACAGTGGGTTCTGCGGGTAGTACCAGTGCCTCATTCTTTGCAGCTTCTCCTGACCCCGAAGACTGAAGTTGATTGTTTATTCAGTTTTTGAAGAAGGAGGGCAGTCAAAATTCTTTTATTAAGTCATTTTTAAAATTTTTGTTTTTTCTTCCTTTTTATTAGTATATGTTTGAGATACATATTAAATTCATTCATTTTGAGGAAATGGTACATACACATATTTCATCTTAATCCTTTCTACTCCTCTCTTCCCTCGCATATCCCCTTATCTCCAGGTCCTCTTCCAGTCTCCCCAAGTCTGTCTCCCTGTTTCCTATCATCTATTCTGTATTTTGCTCCTAAATTGTTTATATGTTGGATTTCTCATACGAGATAAACTTCATTGTTTAACCTGTTTCTGATTTATTTCAAGATAAACTGTACAATGTTTAACCTTCTGTGTCTGATTTATTTCACTTGACACTATGGTCTCAAAATGCATCCATTTTCCTACAAATGACTCAAATTTATGCATCTTTGTGGCTAAATAGTAATCCATTGTGTTTGGGTATATTTCCTTTATCCATTCATCTGTTGCTGGGCATATAGACTGCTTCCAAGATTTAGCTGTTGTGAATTGTGCTGCTATAAACACATGTTTATGTATGACTGTAATATCATACCCAGGAGAGGTATTGCCGGAACCTCTATTTGTAGTTTTCTGAGGATTCTCCATACTGATTTCCACAGTGGTTGCACTAGTTTACATTCCTTCCAATAACATGGAAGGGTTCATTTTCCCCCACAACCTCACAAGCATTTATTGTCTTTTTGTTTTTTTAGTTCATGATGATAGCCATTCTTTCTGGAGTAAAGTGATGTCTCCGCATTACTGCATTATTTTGAATTGCCTTTCTCTGATGACCAAATATGCTGAAGTTTTTTTTTAATGTATTTATTGGCCATTTGTACTTCTGCTGAGAAGTATGGACTCATTTAAATTGTTCCTTTTTTGATTGGATCTTTTATTTTGGAGGTTGAATTTCTTTGAAAATTTCATATATCCTAGATATTAGTCTTCAGAGGAGTAGCTGGCAGTTTTTTTCCCGTTTTGCAGGTTGTCTCTTCAGTATGTTGGTTGCTTCTTTGGCTGTGCAGAAGCTTTTTGATTTTGTTGATTGTTGCTGTTATTTCTTGTGTGAGTGGGTTTCTGTTCAGAAAGGCCTTGCCTATGCCTATGCTCTCAAGAATTTTACCAATTTTTTTTGTCCACTAGATTGTTTCTGTTTTTATATATGTCTTTGATTCATTTTGATTTGCTTTTCCTGAAGGGTGAGATATATAGATCTAGACTCATTCATCTGCATATGAATACCACTTTTCCCAGAACCAGTTGTTAAAGAGGCTTTTTCAGCCCCTTCATTGAAGATCAGATGGCTGAAGGTATGTCAGTTTGTTTCTGCATCCTCAGTTCTGTTTCATTGATCCACGTATCTCTTTTCCTGCCAGTACCATGCTGTTTTTATCATTGTAGTTTTGGAATAGAACTTGAAATCCAGAATTGCGATCCCTCCTGCTTTGCTTATTGCCCAGTATTGCTTTTGCTATTCTGGGTCTTTTCTGATTCTATAAGATTTGTAATTGCTTTTCTTCTAGTCCTGGACAAATATTTTTGGTGTTTTGTTTGGGATTTCATTAATTTCTTGTGCCATTTTTGTTAGGGAGGGCTGGGATCAGGCAAGGAAGAACATAATGTATGCTAACTTTGCATTCCTGTTCTTTATGGTGTACTGATAATTTTTTTCCTTTTTTTTCTTTTGAAACTTTAAAATGCTATTTCTTTTAATAGATTCATTAGCTTTAGAATCTAAGTTTATGAATGACATTGGTCAAAATTCATTATTTTCATATAAGGTTTTAAGAAAATACAGAGGAAAAAATATACAACGATTTTTTTTTTTTTTTGGTACTGGAGATCGAACTCGGGTCCTTGTGCCTGCATAGCAGGCAGCGAAACCACTGAGCTAAATCCCCAGCCCATGATTATTTTTCTTGATCCCTTTGACCTTTTTAGTTTATTCTGTAAAATTAAACATATAACTGGATTCGCTTGGCTTGCTCAGGAAAGTAGGAAAAAAGTTGGTAAACTTTAGTAAATTAAGCCACAGTTCCTTCCGGGGAAATTAATTTTAAATTAAGCTGTGAGTGTTGGTAGGGGCTAGGCTCTCAGTGTGTCTTACGGTGAAGAGAAAAGCCTTGAATGGAAAACTGCTCTGAGCAATTCCTTTTGGATTGAGGCCCATTCCAAGAAATCTGCATCTGGGGCAAATGTGGAAGAGGTCCTGTGCCCTTATCCTGGTGTGGTTGAATCCAGTGCATGAGGTAAGTGTTCTATACACAAGTGCTACCAGGATTTCCTGGAAATGTGGTGGTACTCCCTGGAGATGATGTCTCAAAGCCCCCAGGGTGGCATTTTTCCTCGCCTTGTAGAGCCAGAGCCAATTGCATTAAAATGAATTTAAAGTTTGGATATTGTTTTAGTTACTTGGCTTGTTGCTGGGACAAAATACCTGACATCCTCAAGTTAAAGGAGGAAAGGTTTACTTTAGCTCACAGTTTGTAGAGGTTTCAGTCCGTAGCAAGATCCAATACAGGGCAACATAGCAGAGGGGCGTCACAGAGGAGAAACAGTCCATGGCCTAGTGGGCAAGAAGCAAAGCAGCAAGCCTCCCTTTCCCTTTTATCCCATTAAGGCTACAAGCCTTTTGGGTGGTGCCACCCACACCCAGGGTGGGCCTTACATTATCCACACCCAGATCTATGATAAACCAGTTTAGTTATCACATAATCTTAATCCCAGTATGGCAGGATTTAGATCTAGCCAGCTCTGAAAAGCCCCACCTACTAGGGCATGAGGCTTTGGGGGAGGCATCTAGATGCAAGCCCTAACAGATATCATAACTACAATTTAGCCAAATCAAAGCAAAGTTTAGGATTTGGTAGCCGTGGAATCAATTAAAAAAGAATTTTGAGAAGATAAAAAGCAAGGAGGGAAGGAAGGAGTTTGTCTTTAACATAATTCTAAGACCTTAGAGTCATATCAGCTGGGGAAGACTTATTCACACTCAAATTGATGTATCCCAGAAGAGCAAAATGTTAATGACTTTTATTTTGAAACCTGAATCTTTGTCCAATTTGACATTCTTTCTACAGATGAATGGTAGGTTTTCTGACATATCTTAGGTAACAACAAAAGTCTCAGAAGTAGAGGATGGTAGGACCTAGGATCGAAATAATATTCAAAATAACTGCTATTCATTAAATATCTAATATATGTTAGGCACTGTGCCAGGTATTTTACTTTTAAACCTGACATTCCAGCAGTCCTACAAGTCAGGGCTTCTCAAACCTACTTCACAGAAGAAGGAAGAGACTAAGGCTCATAGGTGACAAGGCTAGGACAAGAGAGTTAAGAGTCCACACTCTTCCCAGTCTTCCCAGTCTAGGACAGGCCATCTCTTTCTTAGCTCATTTCTGATCATGTCTCTCAGGTGGCAAAATGATCTCATGTCAGAGTATTAAAAGGAGAAGGAAGAGTAAAGTAGGATAGAAAACAATGTGGGGATTGTCTTAGCTTTATTTACTGAGTATTTTGTTGCCCTCATCCCCCAGCAGACTTACTACCTGACTGTGCCCCAGTTTTGGCAGCTTTGTGCTGTCTGAGCACTTTCCCGAATCCCCAGTGTACCCTTCTACTCTACAGCCCATCACTATAGCCTCCCCTGAGGGCTGTGCCCTGGTCCCAATGAAACAGCTCAGAATCGCCTGCCTTTTCCGACACAGAGAAATCCTACTCCCTGTAGAAGTTTCCTGACTGTCCCCTCCCTCACTCTGAAATCCATCTATTTTGGTATAATGATGGTGTCACTTTCAAACTTCACGTTGAAATTAATCCCCAATGCAACAGAGTTAGGAGGTGGGGCCATTGGGAAGTGATTGAGTCATGAGGGTTCTATTCTCATGAATGAGATTAACACTGTTACAAATCTGGGTTGAAGGGTGTTTTTGCTTGCTCTCCTGCCATCCAATGACACATTCCCCTCTGGAGGGTATGGCCACACATTTCACATTAGAGGCAGAGAGCAGCTCTCTGAAGACACTATAATCCTATGGGTTCCTTGGTCTTGGACTTCTCAGTCTCCAGATGATGTGAAATAAATTTTTGTTGTTTATAAATTACCCAGTCTGTGGTATTTTCTTACAGAAACACAAGTGAACTAAAGTATCCCCTGATAGCAACAGCCTCTTCAAAGTTCAATTTGGACAATGCTTGGAGTGATGTGTAGTGTATTAAATGGTGAGCCATAAAAAGATACATCCATGTCTTAATTGCCATTAGCTGTGAATGTAGCTTTATTGGGAAACAGTCTTTGTACATATAATTACATTAAGCACTTCACGGCCTTTTGGCTCAGATCAAGTGCATATAATTACATTAAGAATCTTGAGAAGAGATCATATTTTCTTTGTTTTTGATAATCTGGGTTTTTATTATAAGAATTTTTAAATTATAATTGTATTTTACTTTTATTAATCCATGTTTACAGTGAATAATATTTAAATTCTTCGTGTAGGATTGTTACATGTACTCAACACATCTTAGCTCCTTTTTTCATCCCCTTTCCTTCCCTCCCCCCTCCCTTCCTCAATCCCTTAATCCCTTTCCCCTTTGAGAAAGAGCTATCTCCTTACTTCCTATTATCTATCTTTAATTTTGCTTGGATTTTAGGGTGAGCCCTAAATACTTCCTAAAATATTTTCTTTTATCAAACTTTAAATTTTAGTCAAAATTAAAGGTGAATAATATGTTACTATTATTTTACTTGTGTTTTCCATTTTCTCATTATGTTAAGCAGAAAATTAACTTAATCCCTTGTCCATGTGAAGCTAGATTTATGCAGTGATGTCCACAGTGAAAAGATTCTTTTGGGCATGATTTAAAAATCTGAAACATCAACAGAATGTTTCCCCTTTGCATGAAAGAGAAGCAAGGTTTTGGTCTGAATAATCCAGAGCCAGGTCAGAGG